GTGTCGGTCCCCTCACTGGCGTTCGGGGTTGCTATGGGTGAAGGGAGCCCCACCATAGGTTGGGGTGGTGGTCGGGTGATTCGCGAGATCTTGATGGTTTTCTGTCGATCTTGCCCTGGTTTCCTAGTTTGACCTGTGGCAATATGCGGGCGTGAGATGGACCGGTTGGTTGTCTCGCGTCGTGGTGGCCCCTTGTGGTGCGAGGGGGGTTCGGTTGTGCTCCGCTCGCGGCGGTCGCGGGCGGGGAGGCGTCGCGGGCGGCTTCCATTGGCAAGGAATGGATTTCGACCATGAGCAGGCAAGGCTTTGTGCGTTGCGCGGGGGCCCTCGCGCCGCTCGCGCTGGTGATGGCGTGCGGGGTGGCGATCGCGGATCCCGGGAGCGGGTACTACAACGACCTCGATCCGCGCACGAGCGCGTCGATGCGCGACACGGTGCACACCGTGATCGACGACCACACGCGCTTCCCCTACACCTCCACCGCGACGGACACGTGGAACATCCTCGCGGACGCGGACGAGGACCCGGGGAACTCCTCGAACATCATCGACGTCTACAAGAACGCGTCGTACGCGAAGGAGACGGGGGGCAATAGCAACTACAACCGCGAGCACTCCTGGCCGAAGAGCTACGGCTTCGCGAAGGACGACTCCGGGAACTACCCGTACACCGACTGCCACCACCTCTTCGCGGCCGACTCCGGGTACAACTCCTCGCGGAACAACCGGATCTACGACTGGTGCACCTCCGGGTGCACGGAGTACGCGACGGACGTGAACAACGGGCAGGGCGGCACGGGCGAGAGCAACTGGGGGTCCGGCTCGGGCTCCTCGACGGGCAAGTGGGCGACGTGGATCGGGCGTCGGGGCGACGTGGCCCGCGCGATGTTCTACATGGACGTCCGGTACGAGGGCGGCACGCACGGCGTGACCTCCAAGAGCGAGCCGGACCTGATCCTGACGAACGACCGCAACGACATCGTCTCCAACACGAGCACGAACCTCTCCGTCGCGTACATGGGCCTGCTGGACGTGCTCCTGGAGTGGCACGCCGAGGACCCGGTCGACGACTTCGAGCGCACGCGGAACGACATCGTCGAGGGGTACCAGGGGAACCGGAACCCGTTCATCGACTACCCGGAGTGGGTCGGCTGCGTGTTCGAGGGCGAGTGCGATCTGCTGTGGATCAACGAGTTCCACTACGACAACGCGGGCGGGGACACGGGGGAGTTCGTCGAGGTCTGCGGGCCGAGCGGGGTGAACCTGAGCGGGTGGAAGGTGCTGGGGTACAACGGCGCGGACGGGACGGTGTACAAGACGGTCAACCTGAGCGGGACGCTCGGTTCGGACGACGGGTGCTTCGGGTTCGCGGACTTCGCGTTCAGCGGGATGCAGAACGGCCCGGACGGGCTGGCGCTCGTGAACCCGTCGGGCGAGGTGGTGCAGTTCATCTCGTACGAGGGCGATTTCACCGCGACGAGCGGCGAGGCGAGCGGGCTGACGTCCGTGGACATCCTCGTGAGCGAGTCGGGATCGACGCCGGTGGGCGATTCGCTCCAGATGATGGGCTCCGCGGCGGGCAAGAGCCTGTTCGTGTGGGACTACGCCGAGGCGGAGACGCCCGGCGACACCAACGCGTACCAGACGCTCGAGAGCGACTGCTCGACTGGGAGCAGCGGGCCGAGCGTGGATCCGTGGATCAACGAGTTCCACTACGACGACGCGGGGTCGGACTCGGGCGAGTTCGTCGAGATCGCCGGCGAGGCGGGGACGGACCTGTCCGGTTGGAAGGTGCTCGGGTACAACGGCTCGGGCGGCGGGGTGTACAAGACCGTGAGCCTGTCGGGGACGATCAGCGATCAGTCCGACGGGTACGGCACGCTCAGCTTCTCGTTCAGCGGGATGCAGAACGGGGCGCCGGACGGGCTCGCGCTCGTGGACGACTCGGGCACGGTGATCATGTTCATCAGCTACGAGGGGAGCTTCACGGCCACCGCGGGTGAAGCGAACGGGATGACGTCGGTGAACATCGGCGTGAGCGAGAGCGGGTCGGACCCGGACGGGTATTCGCTCCGGCTGAGCGGGACGGGTTCGGAGTACTCGGACTTCTCTTGGCAGTCGGCGGCGGTGGATAGTCCGGGGAGTGTGAACTCGGGGCAGAGCTTCAATTGATGCGGCTCCGTCGCGGCATTTGAGATCCGCTCCATGACTGTCGCGGTTGCTTTCCGCGCGTTTGTAGGGAGCAGCCGAAAGTATGGAAGAATTGGCGGCCTCGGTCCCTGGTGGATCGGGGCCGTTGTGCTTTGGAGGCGGCTCCGCCGCGGCTGCGGTTGCTGCTGGCTTGGGAGCGAATGGGATCTCAGTGGGAAGGGTTGGGATGTTTCGGTCCCCTCACTGGCGTTCGGGGTAGCTATGGGTCTGGGAGAAGACCCCTCACTGGCGTTCGGGGTAGCTATCAGGTGGCGGGTGGCCCTTGGTCCGCTCGCTTCCGCTCGCGGCTGCTATGGCTCGGTACACTGGGCGTTTTCTGTCCATGAGGGCCAAAGAGCGATGCAGACGGTGAGTGTGAAGCGGGCGATGACGGAGCCGGTGGGGACGCGGGTGTGCGTGAAGGGGTGGGTGCGCACGCGTCGGGACTCGAAGGCGGGGCTGTCGTTCATCAACGTGAACGACGGGTCGTGCTTTGGGGACCTGCAGATCGTCGCGCCGAACGACCTGGGCAACTATGAGGATGAGGTCACGAAGCTCACCACCGGGTGCGCGATCGAGGCGGAGGGGGAGCTGGTCGAGTCCAAGGGCAAGGGGCAGAGCGTCGAGCTGAAAGCCTCGGCCATCCGCGTGGTCGGGTGGGTGGAGGACCCGGACACGTACCCGGCGAGCGCGAAGCGGCACACGTTCGAGTATCTGCGCGATTACGCGCACCTGCGCGTGCGGACGAACACGTTCGGCGCGGTGGCACGCGTGCGCCACACGCTCGCGATGGCGGTGCACGAGTTCTTCGACCAGAACGGGTTCTACTGGGTGCACACGCCCATCATCACGGCGAGCGACGCGGAGGGGGCGGGGGAGATGTTCCGCGTCTCCACGCTCGATGCCGTGAACCCCCCCCGGAATGAAGAGGGCGGTGTGGACTTCGGGGAGGACTTCTTTGGAAGGGAGTCGTTCCTGACGGTGAGCGGGCAGCTCAACGTGGAGTCGTACTGCTGTGCGCTGAGCAAGGTGTACACGTTCGGGCCGACGTTCCGGGCGGAGAACAGCAACACGAGCCGCCACCTGGCGGAGTTCTGGATGATCGAGCCGGAGATCGCGTTCGCGGACCTGTCCGACGACGCGGACCTGGCGGAGGGGATGCTCAAGCACCTGATCAAGACGGTGCTCGAGCGGAACCACGACGACATGACGTTCTTCGACGAGCGGATCCAGAAGGGGATCATCGAGACGCTCACGCACGTGATGGACTCGCCGTTCGAGCGGATGACGTACACGCAGGCGATCGACGCGCTGAAGAAGGCGCAGGACGGCGGCAAGACGTTCGAGTTCCCGGTCGAGTGGGGCTCAGACATGCAGTCCGAGCACGAGCGGTACCTCACCGAAGAGCTGGTGAAGCGGCCGGTGGTCGTGACGGACTACCCGAAAGAGATCAAGGCGTTCTACATGCGGTCGAACGACGACGGGAAGACGGTCGCGGCGATGGACGTGCTCGTTCCGGGCGTGGGCGAGATCATCGGCGGGTCGCAGCGCGAGGAGCGGCTCGACGTGCTCGACGCGCGGATCGAAGAGGGCGGGCTGCCCAGGGAGGCGTACTGGTGGTATCGCGACCTGCGGAAGTACGGCACCGTTCCCCACGCGGGGTTCGGTCTCGGGTTCGAGCGGGCGATCCAGTACGTGACGGGGATGGCGAACGTGCGGGATGTGATCCCGTTCCCGCGTGTGCCGGGGAGTGCGAAGTTCTGATGGGCACTCTTGCGGCCAAGTCTTTTCTGCTGATTCTGTGCTCGCTGGCGTTCTGCGCCTGCACGACGATCAGTGAACGGCAACTCGTCGCGACATTCGGTGAGCCGGAGCTCGTTTGCGAACATGCGGGCGATCTCGGTCGGTATAGAACGTATCGCTTTACGCCGAAATATGTCTGGCAGATCCACAGCACAGAATTCATCTACTTGGAACGGAACGTCATCTTTACAGTCGAAGATGGCGTTGTCACCGACGCATCCTCAATCGAAGAGGACGAGCGATCGTATTACATAGAAATCCTGGCGGATGTTGATTGATACCGCTGTGCATTGCGACGGCCTGATGTACACATGAACACATTGCCCGCGGACCAAGCCGGCATTTGTGTCATCGGCGCCGGCGCCGCCGGGATGATGGCGTCCGTCTGGGCGGGGCGTTCGGGGGCTCCGGCGGTGGCGGTGGACGGGGCGAAGAAGCTCGGGGCGAAGATCCTTGTCGCCGGTGGGGGGCGGTGCAATGTGACGCACTATGCCGTGGACGAGTCGAGTTACGCGGGGTCGACGCCGAACGCGATCAAGAAGGTGCTCCGGCGGTGGCCGGTGAGCAAAACGGTTGAGTTCTTCGGGGAACTCGGCGTCGAGTTGAAGCGGGAGGAGACGGGGAAGCTTTTTCCGACGACGGACAAGGCGCGGACGGTGCTCGAGGCGCTGAAGGTGGCGGTGAGCAAATCGGGTTCGCGGCTTGAGCATCCTTGGCGGGTGGAGCGGGTTGAACGTGTTGGGGAAGGGTTCGTCGTGCATGAGTCCCCCACCACTGCTCCGGATGGGATCCCTCGGAAGATCCACGCGAAGCGCGTGATCCTCGCGGCCGGTGGGAAGGCGCTGCCGAAGAGCGGGAGCGACGGTTCGGGGCACGCGATCGCGACATCGCTCGGGCATACGGTGACGGGG